AACTAAGGAACGCCCATTTCGGATAGCCTACTAGAAACCGTCAACTAGTGTTTAATATACAAAATACAGCTGTGGTGATGGATACCAAATTAACACCATGGCGAGGAACAGAAATTTCAAGTTTAACCAAATGGAATTCACAATAACCGTATCTAGTATGATCAGATGCCAGTTACACGGAATTTTTTTACTGATTTGCGATAGACTCTGCATATTCACTTAGATACTACGCTTTTAACTGTTGACCAAGTGACCTACCAAGGTACAACAGTAAAAATCAAGGGATAAAGACGCAAAAAAAACGAGTAATGCGTACGAAAGTGAGATACGTCTATCTGAAAAGAACGATTTGCTTGTAGAAGCATACTTTGGGTCTTGAGTTTTCTGTTGTGTTTTGACCGAAATACAATAATACTCGTTTCAAGCTGTTTTAAATCTACAGTGAGTTAGGAAAAGATTTTATTGACGCTCATGAAAACACAGTCAGCTATAAATGCATTTGATTGACTTGATGAAAAACTGAAAATGTTCGTTAAAAGAGAGATACAAATGTCATATTTGGAGATATTTTCATTGTGACTACAATCTGAGCAGTGGGTATTTACAGCTATTGTTGTTGCAGTCATCCAGTAAGTTCGATTACCGGAGGATATCGGTTTTCCTTCGTAACCTAAAATGTGTAGAAATAAGTAAACAACAAATTTCATACTACCGGAAAAGAATCACCGTGCCCAGGAACGATCAAATCAGCCTTTTTGAGGATTTTCATCCGGAAGGATTCTTGCACGGGCTTTAACCAGCTTGAGTTTTGCCACAACAGGGGATCCTTTAAATCCTCTTCACATTCGAACAAATCTCCGGTGATTACAACACGACCGTAGGGAGCGATGTGTCGACACACTACAGAAACATCGTGAGGAGTGTGGCCTGGGGTGTGAATCACTTTAATCTACGAAGCGATGATATAATTTCGAACAGAGACAAACATTCGAATCGATCTCATATGGAATATAACTCCCGAAATCGTGTGCGATTGGCTGTTCTTTGTATACGGACGTTCCCACTATGTGAATGGCTTTAGTGAATCGGTGCAGACTTCCAATATGGTCTATGTGTTCATGCGTGCAAATCACATAATCAATATCGGTGAAATCTAATCCGTGTTGCGCAAGCAACGTGTGTACCAGATTTGTATCCCAAGGACTTCCAGGATCAACTATTATCTTCTTCGGGCCACTCAACAACGAAATGGTGCAACCTGAACACATCTCACCATGCTCATTGCGCTTTGTCCAGCCGGGGCGAAGTACATGCAACTGGTAAATATGGTCGTCCATTGATTAAGGCTGAAATGAAGAACACAAATAGAGGATGGAATAGAATTTTAGTAAACCATAAAGTTGGCATCAATTTCTCGTGACGAGTGAAGTAAACTGAACGGCTATTCCATCTCAGGGCCCAGACATTCTAACCTTTGTCTTCCAAACCAAACCCTTTTCCGTTTCAACCGACTTTATATATATATATATATACCAGTCTGAGAAAAAGCCAGAAAATGATGATGAAGTTATGGAAAGGTACAGAAAAATTAAACGAAAATGGAGACAACTGAGAACACGGAGAACGAATGAACTTTTTTGGCAGTTTCACCGTACTTTGTTTGAAATTTTTTTGCGTTATAGGGAACGGGTTTTTGCCAAACAAACCGCACAGCAATCGGCCACTGACATCTATTCTGAGCCATATCTTCCAGCATCTTTAGCCGTCGGCAATCCTCATCCCTTGGGCCCCAGACAAGAAGGCGACCTGCACTAACCGAAGCCAATGCTGAGGATAACTTCTTCATATCTCTAAGCCACGTCATGGTCTGACCACGGCAAAGCTTCCTCCAACCTTGTCCAGCATGTGCAAAGAGAGCACGGAGAGGTAGTCCATGGGCAGGCATACGAGCCATCGTAGGCGGTGTAGAACGATTACTTCCGTTAGAGAACGACTATCAGTACCTATCACACGACGACGAATTTCTTCATTGCTTACCCGATGTTCTTACTAGACACGAGCAATGCTTCGAAGGCACTGGTGGTTGAATACGGAAAGTCGATTAGCATCCTCCGCTCGGAAAGGCCAGGTCTCGCAACCGCAAAGCAGAATACTACAGACCGCGGCGATGTACACCGTTCTCTTAAGGGACGATCGAATGTTACGGCGGAGCCACAGGTGTCGCACGTTGGCGAAAGCTGCTCTAGCTTTCGTTATTCGTGATGTGATCTCTTCCTCCAACCCCATCTCCAGCTGTGATTAAGCTCCCGAGGTACTTAAGTCTCTCGACCATTTCCAGCTGATCACCACAGAGAATGAGTGCAGCCACAGGCTTCTGCCAATCTTGAACCAGCACTTTGCATAACGGTGCTCGAACAGCTATCGGAGGGTGAAGATCTGATCGATGCAGTCACGATCGGCACGAACCTAAACCTGCTCCTCGCAGGCATGTTCCTCAAGCGTTTTGTATAATCTACGAAGAATGACGGACGCTAACAGCTTTGACGCTGTTGGGATAAGGATTATACCCCTATGATTGGCGCAGTCATTGCTCGAATGCATTCTACAAATGCGGAGGATAATCGACCCTCTCCATGAGGGGACCAGCTCAGTGTTCCAGACTTTAGAGAACAAGACGTGTAACAAGCTTTATTCTATCATCTTTAAACAGAGCTGGGGGAAGGCCATCGGAGCCCGGCGCTTTGTGATTTCCCAAGGCTTGGATTTCGGCCTCAGAGGGTTGGTCTGTTGAGAGAGACCATGATACGTTTGCCGGAATAGCTTTGTGAGAAGCTGACGCTGGTGGCCCCCTAAACTGTGCTTTGAAGTGTTCCGCCAAGCGTTCAAGACGTTGCTGTTGATTGTGAATAAGCGAGCCATCAGCTTCATAGATTGTCTCGCTCACACCCGAAGTTTTCATACCGGTGACTCGAATGAGATGGAACAGCTTACGGTAATCTCCCTTGGCGGCAGCCCGTTCCATTTCTGATGCGTGTTGAGACCACCAGATTTCGCGATCTCTGCATAGGCTTACGGTAAGTTCACGTCTCATTGCAAGCCGTGTTACGTTATGCTCGCTGCCGGTCGGAAGTGACCGATATGCGACAAGAAGGCGCAGAGACTCAACGGAAATCCAAGGTGTCAAGACAAGGCGTGTCAGACCACAACTAACTAAGCCAGAGGAATGCACAGCATTCTTGATAAGCGACCAGTGCTCATTGATGTTATCAGGTGGGGTTGGTTCGAGATTTTCAGTCAGGGCGTTTTGAAAAACGTCTAGCCACGACGGTTGAGACAATGTATCGCAGTCTAACCGCCGCTGTGTCGTACGTTTAGGACGCCCACCGAAGCACATGGAGAGCTTGGTGCAAACTAACGCTTGATTAGATTCGAGGGTAGTGCTCCAGTACGATCGGCAGTCTTGAATGCAACCCCACCATTTGTGGCTTATAGCGATGTGGTCTATCTGCGTTTGTCGCTTACTCGAGGAGGGTGGACACTAAATGGCGTATCGGCAGTTGGAGCGTCTGAAGTTCGTATTGGCGAGGAAAAGGCGGTTTGTGTTGTGTACTGACTGTTGCTGACTGTCATCGCACCACCAATTTCCGAGCCGAAGAAGAGAACACAATCAAAATGGCACAGGACAGTATACTAGAAAAAAGCGCGTCTTCTTTTTTTACGCGTTAGCATTGGTTCTATTTATTTCCTCCGGTGCGTTCTGAACGCTCGGTATAATAAACCAATCAGGGTCATCGGACCACCCGGTTGACTATGTTGTTTGACTAATGGGAAACGTCGGACCGTCCGGTCGAATACACTGATAGATCATTTCGGCCTGGAGGTTCACCCAATTTCGACTTTTTTCGCCGAAAATATGATTTTTTCGACCGGATATTTTGGGAACTTAACCTTCTTGACAATCAGAACAAAGAACCAACAGCCGTTTCCCGTTTTCCGAGCGACAGGAATCTAGTCCGAAAGGACCTCCCAGATGCGTCTCACTCGAAGTCAATCGGCCTAATATAGCATTCATATCTCCTGCTAAAATCACAGTATCAGCCCAATTCACTTTAAGCGAGAGGCTACAGTTCTGGGGTGCGTACGCTGAGACAACAAGCAAGTTGCGTCTTTCGGAGCGACGACTATTTACTCTGCACGAGCCTCTAAGTTTCACTGTGCATAACCTACTGTCGACTGGCATCCGATCCAGGAGTGCGGTTTCAGCTCTCTTACTGAGAGCCACGCCAAAGCCAGCAAAACCAGAAGCCGCAACCTCAGGGTCCCTAGGAAGATGCAAGTGAAACTTCGCGGATGGGTTTGACGGGGACATCAATCGGATGGCGGGGCCAGTCTTGAATGCGAGTTTCTAGGATAAAACACAGATCGATGACTAAGGTCTCGAGGGTCACAATCATCATCGTACAGCGAAATGCAGGGAAGCGAACTTCATTGCTCGCTATCAAACTTGCAATGCATATTCATTGGAGGGTAAGAACTAAACACGCCTGCTATCCTCTACGCAGTAAGGTACGCACGTTGAATGTAGCTAGTTTGAATGGGCATCGAGGAAGAAGAAAACCTCCAACGGTGTGGGACGGAATTTCCATCAGATGCACAAGTAGGGGTACGATTATCTGAAGATCTTGACGATAATGGGAACACTTGAGAGGGGATGAATATTAAGTGGAGGAAAAACTGGAAAAAGGACGTGCAGGTGTAAAGCGTTTTTTATGAGCAAGGAGAACGGAAAGAACGAGTAATCGATTAGGCTGAAGATCATTGTTGTCATTGTGGGCTGTTGTACTGCTCGGTCGCCCAGTCCAGAGTAGGCCCTGTTCAAGGATGCACTCTAGCCTTTACGCAACCAAGTCCGAGCTACAAGGCAGCAGTATTGTTCCAGATAAGCCGGTGACCGATCGATTGGTTCATTCGCCTTCCCTGGAAGACCTTGTCGGTAGATGGTTTTCAGTTTGAACAACCAGTAACTACGCATATTCGTGCGCCGGTTTTGGTTGTAGCCTTTTGGCTACCCATTTGGATGAAGAATAGGAGAAGAAAGGAAGCTCAAAAGTGGAGTCGCAAAGAAAATGGAGACGTTCAGTGGTCTAAGGTTGCAAAGAAATTC